GGGCGCAACTGTTATAGGCCCAACTTCTTTTCTTTCCTTCTGTTGTTTCAGTCTATCTGTCCTGTTTGTCTGTAGTTTGCGGGTGCTCTGGTGTGGTTTGTTCATTCATTCCTGCCGAACGTCTGTCGTCCTTATCTCTCCTCATTCTTTTATTTTTGTATGTTACTCTCCTGTAACTCCTCTTATCTTCAGCACAGTTTTTGTCTCATTATCTTGCAATGTAATTCCGTACATACATAGTTACATTGGCTGCGAGATGACCTTGACTCCCTGCTCTTATTTGTTTTGCTCTTTAAATCCTTACAAATTGATCAGATTGGTCAAATAGTTAAAGTTTGGCTTTTTGTTTCATGCATGCATGTATGTGTGTATGTGTGTATGTATGTATGTGTGTATGTGTGTGTTTGTGTGTGTGCGTGCGTGCGTGTGTGTATGTTTGTGTTTGTGTGTGTGTTTGTGTCTCTATGTGTATATGTTTGCATGCACGCGTGCCTGCATGTATTGTATGCCTGTTTGTATGTATGCTTTCATGCATATATGCATGTATGTATAAAGCAAAAACCATAAGGCCTAGATTGATGAAATTTGGCACAACATACGTTTTATATTTGCTCTATTCAACATAACATCCACTTCTGCATACGCTGTTGCCCGTCGTTAAACGCACCGACGTAAGTGCATGTATCCAGGCACTTAATTTGCGTCTTTTTTTGCTTGAATGAAATCCTCCTCTGACTGAAATCGTTGTCCACGAAGGTGTTCTTTCATTTTGGGGAACAAGTGGAAAAAATCACACTGGGCCAGGTCAGGAAAATATGGCGGATGTTCCAACAATTTCAACGAATAGCCAGTCAAAACGTCGGTCACCTCCTGGGGTTTGTACGTCATTTTTCAACTTGACCGAATTGTTCATATGTTTTCTCCAGAACATGGACGATATGAATAGAAGGTACAGATCCTTGTGTTTGTGTGAACGACACGCTCCCATGACCAAAGGCGTTTCTGGGTCAGACGTTTCCCAGATGAACAACTTAGTCTGGAGTAGCTCTGTGACCCAGCATTCCCCAAGGGTCTATATTATACTTAATTGAAAAGCTCCCCAAGATATTTCCAACTTGTTTAATTTTATTTCTTTTTAACGAAATGTCATCCTTGTTTTTATTTTCTTTGAAAAGGGGAATTTTGTAACCGCAATATTTAAAATATTTTTTTCTTCTTCTGTTTTATTTGTCCCGCAATACATGGACATTTGCTCTTTGATCCAAGGCCACGAAATCATAGCTGCGGGGCCGGGTGAATGACAAATGGTATTCATGAACATTAAGATTTTCTCCTTCACCTGTTTGTTTTCGTGTTTTCAGGAGCACTGTGAATATTCTCACCTGTCCGTTCAGCTCGTTATTTCCTGTCGGTGAATGCTTTATTTCCATACCCCTTTTGCCAACCATTTAACGGCATCCACAGGTGGCTATCGGTCTCCCCCCCCCCCCCCCGAGGTCATGCGCTTTTGAAAATGGCACACTCTGGGTTTCGCGTGTCTTGAAAACAAATTTGGAGAAATCGAGATCACAGGATTGATTTGAGGTCACTGTGATGCCCCAGTTTAACATGATTTTGTTTGTTTCGTGTTCTTACATTTTTATGTCTGCCTGGTTACCGTATATCTTCTTAGCCCGGGTTGGCCATGACTGGCAAGGTTGAAGCAGCGGTCTCTTAAATTATCCAAGTGGTTCCAATCCGTGTGTGGGTGTGTGGATGTGTGTGTGGGTGTGTGTATGTGTGTGTGTGTGTGTGTGTGTGTGTGTTTGTGGGGGGGGGGGGGTGCTCGTATGTTGAACTGTTGTTGTTGTTGTTGTTATTGTGTTGTCGCCGTTGTCGTCGTTGTCGTTGTCGTTGTCGTTGTCGTCGTCGTTGTAATCGAACCAGGGAGGGTAGAAGACAAAATCAAGTTAAATTCAGGCGTCATAGTGTACTTCAAAGCAACCTTGTGACCTTGATTTACAATCGTTTGAGATCACACATTGCTTTCCGCAACGAGCCTGCTTTGTTGCTAGTTGCAATGCCCCTTCAGGCATATTAAGGTATAGGAGCACGCCGAATCATTCATAATTCTGTTAAATATTTAAAAAACAAGGCTCTCTTAACCCATTGAATAACGCGTTGGGACCCATCGGCCAATTTGTCAATGTTATGAAGATCAGGGCACTTGTTCATTCAGCGAGTTTTATATTTTAACGTGGTCTCAATAGAGGGCTTGGGATTTTTCCATATCGCACACCTTCTGTTTTGTGAAATTTTTGAAAAGGAATCTTTGTCAATCGCTCATGAAAGCTGCAAGACAAATTGTATGTGTTTTGTAAGGTGCGCTGCTAGAACATGTAGTTTGAGCAACAGAGCGGCAAATTGCGGGATGTATTGCTCTTCCAAATCATTACTTCTCTTTTATAAAACATTCGCCTCCTGCTGGGATCACCTGGTCGGCGTCATTCAAAATCTTATATTATATGGTTCATCAAAATTTCGAAAAAATGTAAAATCAAGTATCTTCTTTAGTTTGATGAGGTACATTGAATGGTCTCAGTCTCATTCCTCTTCATATTTAATTAGCAACGGGATTTGAGGAATTAAACGTTATGTACTTATATTGTTTTGCCTAAAATAAAAATAAAAGTTTTTGCTTCCTCTGAAAACCTCATATTTTGACGGACGACAATGATAAATAACGGCGACGACCTGTGAATCGAGTGTTTCTGAAGAAAGGTGAAGCTTCATGGGGCATTTCTGAAATAATTTGGTCAACGTGTTCTACCTATTACATGTTGTTTCTAGAGTTCACTTTAACTGGTTGAAGGGTAGGGTTTGCATAAGAGTCTAAAATCCAGTTTAAAATACTTCCTGTCTTTGTATTCTGAGTTATGGGATCAACTATGTTCGTGGTGGACGTAAATACATTAATTGAAATCAGTATCCCTCTATGATTAACCACCATTTGTTCTGTTTTGTGGCCCGCCAAAAAAAACCCACCAAACCCTCTCACGTACACACACACGCACACACAGACGGATGGGCTTTCAGAAAGAGAGGGAGAAGAGGCAGACAGAAAAACACTCAGACAGAAAAAGAGAGAGAGAGAGGGAGAGAAAGAGAGAGAGAGAGAGGAAGAGAGAGAGAGAGAGAGAGAGAGAGAGAGAGAGAGAGAGAGAGAGAGAGAGAGAGAGAGAGAGAGAGAGAGAGAGAGAGAGAGAAGAAGAAGAAG